GTTACTTGTACACGTACATGAACTGGTTAGTTGAGTGCGTGCTTGCAGGGTATACAGTATTTTGGGTCGAAAACTGATTGCTTGGTCGGAACGGGGTGGACATGATCGGGATGCGTAATGAACAGGCAAGGACACTTTGTGGTCAGACCTGGGAGAAAGCGGTTGTAGGGGAGTGTCAGTGGGACGGAATGTTGGGCGATCTAGAGCTGGATACTGCATGTATCTGGACGGACATGAAGGTATATGGAGGGTTGTGAGTCCTAGGCTGTTGATCGAATGGTGTGACGGGGACTGGGGCTGGGATTGTCTGTGGGATGGAGTTGCTGTAGGAACGTGGAGGGCCTTGTGTATAGTGTGTAGTGTAGCAAACAAACTAAATGTGAGAGATGTTACCAGGGGAACAACTTTGGCAGCAGAACGAGTTAGTGATAGGGATATGGCAGCAAAGAGCATGAGAACAGAATGGAAACTACTGCTGGATGGGGGAGCTTGCATAATACGCGGCGTAGCTTGGACGATAGGGGTGGCATGTGTACTAGTAACAGTTGCATTTGACCGGGTTGATGATTGAGTAGGGATAGAGCAAGAAGGGTGACATACCTGGGTTGAAGGGAAGATGTGCCGTGTATCGCGACGACGATAGCGTAAGGTACGAAACACTTCTGACACCAATGTAGTGTCTGTGAACTACACTATCCCACTTCTGACACCAATGTAGTGTCTGCCAACCTGCTCGTGTCTGAAGCACTTTGGACTTATACCAGAAAGTGTAACAGGCTGACAGCACTAGCCGGAGGAACTTGCAAGCTCTGAGGCTTCACAACTCTTTACTCTCGAAATCAATTCCACACGGCAATGAGAAAGAATGAGGGGTTTATATAGGCCAGAGGGAGAGAGCAGCTGGGAGCGAGGGCAAAAGATTACTAGGAAGACAACTGTTGAAAGATCTAAGGAAAAGCCATTTGAATGTGTGTGAGCTAGGGCTGAACAATAACATGGATTCGGGGAAGAAAGCTGTTGGATGCCTAGAATCTCGCAAGGGATCAAGAGGGTCAGTTATGGGGAACAGACTATACAGGAATCAATGTTGTTCTTGTTGTTGTTGTTGTTGTTTTTTATTTGAATTCGCAATACCAAACGGGCAATAAGCCCAATTACATGGAAGCGAATAAAAGAATGCTAAGAATGAGGCATTGGGGTGGATGTTATTTCAAGTGGAAAACACTGATCCCGGGAGGTACTACAAATAGGTACAATGAAAATCTGAAAAGGCCATGGTACTGTCGTTTACCATGCTGGAAGCAGCTACATGGAGAAGGAAAAACAACAAGAAAGACGTTTTATCTCATGTATTGGACAAACAGAGCTAACAGGAAAAGACCGTTCGTTATATGCCTATACATACTGTCCGTGTGTGTGTGGGGGGGGGGGGGCATGTCGCTGTTTCTCTTCTTTTAAAAACGTTTATGGCCTGAGAGTGTACGGGTACACGGCTGATGTGAAATCGACCACGGCTTTGCAGGAACGTACACTGGCTGGCAGAGTGTTCCACAGCGCAGGTCCACGGAAGAACGGTCGGCGAGTGCCTGTATTCGTCCTGGCCAGCGGGAGAATGAGCCCGGCGTTGGCTTGATGTCGAGTTGGGGCCGTGGTTGCGGGCTTCAGCTGCTTTGAAAACGCTGTACTACATTGGCCGTTCAGGCCGCGCCAGATGAGATCGAGGAGTCGGTGGTGTTGTGTCTCCTCGATTTTCCGGAGGGATATGCTCTCCCATTGGTGGCTTACCGAAGATGTGGGTGGTAGGCTGAACACAGCGCGGATGGCACGGTTCTGAAGACGTTGGAGTTTCCCTAGAGCGAAAACTGAGAGGGACGTGCTATATGCCACACTTCCATATAATAGGTCGGGCATCACAACGGATTTTAGGTATTGGACCCTGGCCTTCTGGGAAAGGGATCGCCGGGCTCGCCACAATGCTCCGACTTTCCTGTTCACCTTCGCTGTAACATCGTGGATATGATGGTCCCAGGTCAGTTGCTCGGTGATGGTTAAACCCAAGTACTTGGCCGCAGTACAAGCAGGTAAGGGGGTCTGATGGCAATTTACAGCGATACTGGTTTGCGCATCCCTCCCACAGATGGACAGAACTTGACTTTTGCGTTCATTCAATATCAGGCCGCGGTTTTCGAGCCAGTCGGCCAGCGCAGTGACGGATGACGAGAGTCCCAGTGAAATAGTTGCCGTGTTGGAACCACTTTGGTACAGTGCAATATCGTCAGCAAATTGCATGCTAGGGGTCGGGTGAGCTACTGCAGCTACCGCTTGGGTGTATATATTGAACAAGATGGGCCCCAATACAGATCCCTGGGGTACTCCACTTGTGCATACTGTGATGTTGCTCAGTTCGCTACCGATGCGGACTTGTTGTGTCCGGTTTGTAAGGTAGCTAACGAGCCATTTCATCACCGTACCGCCAACTCCAATTTCAAAGCAGTCCTGGATCATAGTTGCATGCCGCACTTTGTCGAAGGCCTTCGACATGTCAAGGAAGCACACTCCAGAGGAGTCCTTCTTGTCGCGAGCCATTTGCAGCTGATCAACCAGTAAGGGCCGGGTTCCACTGCGGCTCGCGTCCGCGTTGCGTGAGCCAGAAGCGCATGCTGACGCGAAGCCGCTCGGTTCCACACTACAATCGTCACGCGAGGTTCCGCGGCATGCGGCTCGAGTTTCTGGCCAGGTGGTCATGGAAACCATGCATGGCGCAGTCGCGTGATCATTATTATTTTCGCGCGAACGTTCGAACTCCAAACTTTACCCACAGCTAGCTAGCTACAATTGTAGCTTGTTCTGGCAGTTTGTTCGAGCTTCTTTGTAGTGTTGTTTTCTTCAGGATTGTAGTTGTTGGTGTTGCTCGTGGTGCTGTGACTGTCACGATGGCGTGTTGGCCTAGGAGAAAAAAGGTTCTTGCTGTCATGCTGTCGTTTCAAGCTCCTGCTCTATTCACAGAAATTATTTTGAAAGGTGGAAGCGACGAAGCAGAACTTGTAGATTGCAGCAGCATGCACAAAACCCGATCGATCCCTGACACTAGCTTTTTGTGGATGGCACTGCTGAGTATGCCTATGTTCAAGGATTTTTGGAGACGAGGACGTGCCCGCAGGAGATTTTGGTGTGCCCTGCGCGGCCCTGGTATTTGGCAGAGTCAATTCTTGCAATGTCTGCCAACAATGACTGCACGTGGATTTGCTGATTGGGAGGAGAGCCAGTACAAACACAACTTTCGCATGGGACGCGAGGCGTTTTGGAGACTCCACGTTCTTGTGGGGAACTCTCTGACCAGGCACATGAGGAAGAGTGTGTCGTCGAGCAAACGTCTTGCAATTACACTGCATTGGTTTGCCCATGCTCCCTCCTATGCCCAGCTTGCATTGTTGTACGGAGTGGGAAAAACCACTGCCCATGTCCACATTGTGCACGCCACTGTCAATGTGTTTGTAACGGAGTTGGTACCAAAGACCATTGCATTCCCCCAAGGGCCAGAGTTAACGAGAGTGATGGCGGATTTCCAAGACTTGTGTGGGCTGCCCTACTGTGGGGGAGCGATCGACGGCACTTTCATGGAGATTGAGAAGCCTGTAGCCCATGGCGATGTTTATTGGTGCTACAAAAAATATCCAGCCATAATGATTCTCGGAACTGTTGATGCCAGAGGCATCTTCATCAACGTGAACTGTGGCAGACCTGGCTCTGTTGGAGACGCAGCAACCTTTGCAGCATCTGCACTGAGGCAAAAGATAGTGGACAAGGTGTGGTTGGTCAGCGATCCGTTGCCAATCGGAGGCATGGCGATCCAGCCATACCTTGTAGCTGATTCCGCTTTTGCCCTCAACACGTTCACGATGAAATGCTTCTCTACCCCTGTCGCTCCTCAGCAGCAGTCATTTAACTACCGCCTCATTCGCACCCGCAGAGTAGTGGAACAAGCTTTTGGGAGACTGAAAGGCCGGTTCCGCATCTTGGTGCATAGCAGCATCAGGAATCCTAGATTCGCTGCTGATGTTGCTGTGGTTGCGTGCTCGCTGCTTAACTTGTGCGAGCGCTGGAGCTGTCCGTTTGAGCAGCAGTGGACGATAGATCCAGCGCAGTACGCTGCACACCATCCTGGACAGGATGAGCATGCGAATGCGGAGAGAGAGGCAGGTGGTGATGGTGTCCGCAACGCCATTGCTGCGTACACACATGCCAATTTCCCCTTGAATCAGGCTTAGTAGGAATGAAGAGAGTCTGGGAACTATAGACCAGCTGAAGTCACCGTGCATCATGGAACATCGTTGCTCTCGCTGGGCACACACTCAGATGTACAATTACATGTACCGGAATGTGTACTAGTAAATATTTTCTTCCTTTCTCGTTTCTGTTCCTAAAATTGGAGAAAGCTTGGTGGTCCTACCTTCCTTTGTATGTGTGTACCGGTAGATAATGTAGGATTTCTTTTTACCACTAAATTGCGGGCAAAAAAAACAAATGGGTTTCTGTAATTCTCCAATTCCCTCTCCTCTTTTTCATGCACCCGATTTGGGTATTGTTTCATTTTTTCCCGCTTTGTGTTTGAGCCATTCAGCCTAGTGAGTGCTGCTAGCTTTGATGCTGACACGAATGTGTTTTCTGTGAACCGACAATTTGCCGGAGGTTCTACATGTCCGGGCATGTGACATGCTCCTTTGCGGGTGTATGCGTACACAGTTTAACATTCAAGTAAGAGCATGTGGCCGAGGATGAGAAGTGTCATTACTCGCTTTTTTATGGTTGTATCCGCTCTGGTCGTTACTCGCAAGTTTGGCTGTGCGTCTGAGTACTATTCCAACGTACTGGTGCTTGCATGCATTTCTTCTTGTGTGTCTGTAAATATGTATTGCATTTGTGAAATCCCAACTGCTTCATGTCCACAGCCTGTAGCATACACTGAAAAATAACTCATTGGTAGACCCGTTCAGCCGAGCTATGATGATCACAATATTGTTTTGCTAGACATACCAAGTTGGTACTACAATGTAATGTAACGACACATTTATGACCGATGACCTTTCTGAATTGACCATAAAACAGCAATATGAACAAGTAGTATAGAGTATAGACACGTGATACTGCAGGTATGCTGTATCAAGAGTACCGGGACAGCCTGACTAAACGTTCAACTGAGCATTGTCCTTGACATGGGATACCAGCGATAATATTGAAAAACAACTACATAAGAACAGGAGAATAGAATAAGCAGCAGTAATTTTGTGCATGCACGCCAATGTGTAATGTGAAGGAAGAAAACCTAGGGCATTACTCTACACTCTGTGCACATATCGTCGCCATCAAGCTGTGACTGAACGGATGCTTGTGCAAACGCTGTTGTGTTTGAATCTTCACACACCAGACCATCACCTACAGGGAAAATGCAGGCATACAAGCAGACAAACAAATGAAGAGACATTAGATATAGAAGATGAAGCATCATGAACAAACTCCTTGCCTCACACAGATTGCTCAAAAACAAAGTAATAATTATAATACTTCTTCAAGTATCAAAATTGACATTGAACAGTAATGAAATATTTCTTCGAACAGAAATTGTTACGATGAGAAACAGTCCTCGGGGTGCCAATCGTAAACCATTCAAATATAATTTGACTAATACTTACTTTTCATCATTTTTATCATCCTGAAGGATATTCTTGAAGAGGTTCGCTTGAAATGCCATCATATTCTGTAGCAAGCCCGCCTGAAACGTCTGGTTTTGCTGCAGCTGAGTATTCCGGTCCTTTGCCAGGTTGGACTGGTGGGTCATCGTCTGTTGTAACAGTGAAGTCTATAGCATTGAGAAAAGGGGCAACAATAACAAAATCAGTATTTACTTTACACTAGTCCACGTATATCAAATTCAATCAAATATAATCACAACAGTCCATAAACAGGAGTATGCAACTGTGATCTCTTTTCTATTGGCCAGATGCGCGGCACGCTGCCTTCATTACAACATTCAGCTGCAGTCTGCGCACTGCGCAAAATCAAACACCGCACTTTCCCTCTGGTTTGAAATGAACTTTCGTACGGAACTGGAGTTCACGTGCCAAAAGTTTAGAGATCTTGGAAGTGCTGGAACGAATCGAGCGGAAACGGATGGGCTCGCCCAATCAATTTTGGGTTTGAGTGCATGCTTTCAGAGCGTGATGGAGGCAAGTTACGTAATGAAGGCAGCACGCCGCGCACTGACCCATAACCACAGTTGCATACTTGTTTATACACTCTTGATAATTATTATTGCATATCCAGGAAATCAAAAATTCCAGACATCTACATGCATAAAAATTACAGATGTGCGCACACACACCGGCACACATACAAAAGATGCACAAACACATGCACAAACCTGGAATGTATGCTCCTTTTCCTGTTGTTGGGCTTGGATGTCTGCATACTGCGTCAGGAACTGCTGCTGCTGGTACGCCACCCGGGACGTTCCACTTGCTGTCGGCGTCGCCTTCTGCTCAGCCTTCGCTGCCTTTGGTGGTGGAGTTACTGGGAGAGTATCATCATCATCATCATGAGAAAAGCCTCTTTTACGGGCAAAGCAAATGTATATCATTACAATATGTAAAGTGAACAGGGGAAATCAACACAAAACCAACCGGAAAATGATGAAACACAAAAGCAGTCAAGGAAGTAAATCAATACAAAAACAAGCAATGAACACAGAGTAATAAAAGGGGAAAAAACCAAAATAGCATTATATTAAGTTGAGGCCAAAGGCAGCACCCTACTCCGCCTGGCGGCACTGGGCCAGAAATGAGTTCGGCTGTCGCCTCTTGCCGTACGAACCGCGGCAACCGCGGAAGCAGGTGACTGCCCATCGCAGCAAGCAGAAAGACAAACGGGTGCGTAGTATGCCCATTACTAGTGGGTACTTCAGTTCAGTATGGCGCTCAACAAACAGGGAGGCCAATGATTTCAGGAATTGAGTAGTTTCTGGGCCACTAAAGCCGTACGTCGAGAACACAAGTGGCGTGAAGGAGCCGCGCTCCACGTTAACCACACGGCTGGCGTATTGATTTTTCTTGTTTCGCTCGTGAGACTTCAGCTGACTCAGGGCTTGTGATCGAGACAACACAGACGCTGCGGGATGAGTGATCCGCACATCAAAGTAAGCGTCCTGTTGCCACGACCAAAAGCCGCGAGCCCGCACATCCAGACGAGCTTCTGCGCATCGGTTGAGGGAACGACCACCAGGCAAATGCTCACTGCTGCAGGGCAATAGCCGGGGCTCCGTCTCTACGTCCACCACTCCAGCCTCCCTCAGTAGTCCAGCAACCAAGTCCCGCACCTCATTGTGACGGGCAATGGTATAGCCGCCAGTGGCACAGGTAAGTGCATGAGCGGGGCTGAGAGGCACACCACAAACACATGAATCGGGTAGCCCACTCAACCGTCGCCCATAGCGGATGCACAGGGCATCACGGAAGCGCCATGAGCTTGTTGATCACGACATGGACAGTGATGATGATGATGATGATGATGATGATGATGATGATCATGAGAAAAGCCTCTTTTACGGGCAAAGCAAATGTATATCATTACAATATGTAAAGTGAACAGGGGAAATCAACACAAAACCAACCGGAAAATGATGAAACACAAAAGCAGTCAAGGAAGTAAATCAATACAAAAACAAGCAATGAACACAGAGTAATAAAAGGGGAAAAACCAAATAGCATTATATTAAGTTGAGGCCAAAGGCAGCACCCTACTCCGCCTGGCGGCACTGGGCCAGAAATGAGTTCGGCTGTCGCCTCTTGCCATGATGATCATCATCATCATCATCATCATCATCATCATCATCATCACTGTCCATGTCGTGATCAACAAGCTCATGGCGCTTTCGTTTTGTACGTACTCCTTGTGCTGCGCCATCATCCTCAGAGGATGTACTGGACGTGGAGTTGGTCTCACCAACTGGAGCTGCAACCACCAGCTTGGTAGCACCTTGCGATTCCTCACAAACAACAGTAGCTGTGTCGACAGCTCCTCCAAGTCCACAGCCCCAGGTGGGGTGATCGCCGAACAGTTCAAAGTATAGCCTGACGAGATGCCACTTGCACTTGTTTTCGATTTCCGACCAATCGACCTCCTCAATCGCATCGCCATCAAGCTGCTGGTCGTCGTCATCCACTCCTGATCCAGTAGGGGGCTCCTTTTTGTTCCTTTTCAGTATAGGAACGATCCACTTCTCCATCATCTTCTTGCCCAGCTTCTTCAGTCCGTCAATTTTATTCTTCACAACGTCATCAGTCAAGTCCTCCACATCATTTTCTCCGTGACTCGCCAGAAGTTTGCCATCTCTCTTCATTTCCACCAATTGTTTCCTCAGCCACTCTCTCTTTTCTTTGGCAGTCTTCATCTGCTTCTGGAACCGGCTGCTGACAACATGCCAAAGTTTCAGCGTGGCCCGCTCCAAATCTTTCGACCAATTGAACCCCATCGCAAACGGAAGGAAGAGAAACACTGACAAAGAAATTGAAACTGACAAAACAAGTAAAAGACACAACAGATCTTGTTGTTTGTCGTCCGGTCTTGCTTCTTCAGAGCAGATTTCAAGTTTCCCGCCAGCATTTCACAGTTCACGTGATCATGAACAATGCAAGCCGCGATCGCGGCAAGCCACCACGCTACAAAACGCAACGCGAAAGCCCGTGGCAGGCCGCCACTCCGCGGCACTCGCTCGAGCCGCGGTTACCATGGTAAAACCAAAAAAAATACGTGCCGCGGAGCCGCGGAGCCGCAGTGGAACCCGGCCCTTAGGCTAGTGCATCACCCGTCGAGTGCTGCCGGCGAAATGCAAACTGAGTTTCCGGGATAGCGTCGGTGCGGTCGAGGTGCCGTACAAGCTGCCGCTGGACCAGCTTTTCCAGCAACTTTGACAAAATCGGAAGTAGCGACACTGGCCTATAGTTTGTCGGCTGAAACGGATCCCCAGACTTGAACAGCGAGCTTACAGCCGCCAACTTGAAACCGGCAGGCACTGCACCAGATTTCAGTGACAGGTTGAAGAGTGTGGTGACAGATGGTGTGAGGACCTCGGCACAGGACTTCAGGAGGAATCCTGGGACACCGTCGCTGCCCGTTGCTTTCGCAGGGTTGACTTGACTAAGTAGACGGTAGATTAATGTAATGTATTAGTACAGCATGAGCGCAATAGGTCATGCGGCCGTACCGGTCTTGCAAGCAGGGCTATCTAGGCCTAAGTGGTTGCGCGTGAGAAGCACTTACTAAGTAGCTAGAATGTTCCTGTAACTACTGGTAGAGACTTGGCTGTGGGATCACCGACAGTCAGGGATACTACACAAGCATGAAAAACGGAAGAAGCACTCCAGTCTTGTAGAATTATCCATACGCTCACCTGATGCCATAATGGTAGCATGCTTCAACAGCGCTTGCGATCTAAGGCCCTTATCACACTGCGTTCAAAAGTCGCGTTTGCGTCTGCGTTTTCGTCGGTTTTTGACGGTCGCCTAGAAAATGCCATCACGTGACGTTATCGCGAGCGCGTTAAAACGCAGAAGCACAGCTGCAGACGCGGACGCAAGCCAGGGGGAGGGGGGGGGGGTGGTCAAAACCGAATCGCGTAAACGCACATCGGACTTTCTTTATCGCAGCCCTTCCTGCATTGTTTCTGAGTGTTTTCAAGTGATTCTCAAGTATGCTTTTCAAATCTTAATTTCCATCTGGTTGCTGAGGCCGGCGAGGGTACTTCTACTACATGTACTGATTGATTGATTTTGGATTCGCGAGGCATGGAGCCCATGCGAGCTCGTGGCTGTCTGGCTGAGGTTGCGCTGACTAGTTGGCGGCGACTAGCCTAGCTGGACGATGTGCCTCAACAACGGAACTGCCACCCCAAGGCCAACACAGGCAACGCAAAGGCTGCAGTCTTCCCATCGACCTCTAATTCCCCCAGCACCACTGACAAAGGACATAGGAGCAGAAACAGAACACTTCTCGATCTCAGGAAAATAAATTCAACATCTACGGCCACCTCGAGATCGATTCCCCACATTTTTTTATTTTCCCGCGCGCATAGATTTTGACGCAAACGCTGAAAATCACAAGACTTTTAGTAAGTATAGTATGATATCACGTCTTGCGTTTTCCAAATCTCAAACGCAAACGCAGACGCAAACGCGACTCAAACAAACGCAGTGTGATAACGGCCTAGCCGTTCAGCAGGCACAGAAGGACGCTGACTCACGCTGTTATCTGGCGTTCACGAGATGTTTGTCGCGCCGGAAACGGAGCGTCTCTGTGAGTTTGGAAGCGAAGACGAATCACGCGTGACAAACCGAAACGTCAACATCCTACTGAACTTCACAGGCGGACAGTTAGTCACAACTCGTAACATTGTGTCCTTCTTCTTTTTCACCATAATTATTGTTCTTAGAACGAGAATGGTACTACATGTATATACATAAAAAAAATTGATTGTGAGCAACACTTGCTCACACTCAATCACTGCTTTTCACCAGAAAAAATACTTTCTTTCGTTTCGGTTATGTTAATATTGATGGTTATTTCATGACCGAAACGTTGAAATAACATATTTTTCTGGTGAAAAGCAGTGATTGAGTGTGAGCCAGTGTTGCTCGAAACCAAATTTTTACTTATGAAGCTGCGTGATGCGTCCTACAAGTTTTTCTATATTCATGTTGTTAGTTTGACAGCATGATACAAGCAAGGTACAGGACACTGTGTTCGAAATCAGTGACCTTACTACAACCATGATCCACGGTTGGCAGAGCCCCGGTCCGTCCTCCGCCTTGTTTCTTGCTGTCAAACTAACAACATGTGTGAACTATAACAAGGTTTATCTAATACTAGTATTGTACTAGTATTGGGTTATTCTCCAAGGGTCCGGTATCCGTCTTCTCAAGCCTTCTTTCAAGAATATTGAGTCGAGTATCCAAGCCATTGAACGAGTTACTGACGGCTGACACCTCCTCACGGATACGAGCAATGGAATCTAGGACCGTTTCCATGCGCTCTTCTAAAAGATCGCTCATGCAGGTGCGGAACTGTTTCATGAGGTGGTCTGCATTTACGATGCCAACAGAGTCCGGTGCGGGGAGCTGTGTCGGCGACTTTTGACCGGTACCAACGCCAACGCTGGAAGCAACACTCACAGGTGACTCCGACAGCTCTCCCAGCTCAAACACAGGTCGAGGCTGGAAAAAGTAAGTAAATTATCGTGTCCGTTCCCGAAGGGAACTCACGACGGCCGCTAACACCCGATAAACCCTAGCGGCAGATGCAGCGCCTAACGGTGGGGGTGAGTGGATAAGTCTCACAACCAACTGCACAAGTGCCGAAAACGACCCCATTAGCTGTATCCATGTACCCCTTGTGCCGAGGCTGTACATGTGCGCAATCCCTGACAGCACTCGCACTAACATACCTCCGTTCCAGAGAGGCAGGCAGCATTTGCTG